CCAAATCAAGAATACAATTCCATTTACAATTGCCACACAAACAACAACCAAAAATACCTAGAAGTACATCTAACCAAGGTGAAAGATCTCTGCAAGGAGAACTATAGAATGTTGTTCAAAGAAAATATAGATGACACAATGAAAACTATATCATGTTCATGGCTTAAAAGACTAAATCTCGTTAAAGTGGCAGTATGGCCCAAAGCAATATACAGATTCAATACTATTCATATCAAACTACCAACATCATTTTTCACATAATTAGATAAAACTATTCCGAAATTAATATGAAACCAAAAAAAAAAGGAGCCTAACTAGACAAAGCAACCCCAAACAAACACACAAACAAAAAAACAAAGCCGGAGGCATCAAATTACCTGCCTTCAAATTATACTATGGGGCTACAGTAACCCAAACAGAATGATACAGGTACAAAAACAGACAAATTAACTAATGGAACAGGTTGGAGAACCCAGAAATAAAGTCACACACCTAGGACCATCTGATCTCCAACAGAGTCAACAACAATAAGCAATAGGGAAAGGACTCCCTATTCAAAAAATAGTGCTTGGATAAGCAGCCAGCCTTATGCAGAAGGATGAAACTGGACCCCTATCTTTTATCATATACAAAACTTAACTCAAGATGAATTCAAGATTTCAATGTAAGACCTCAAACTCTAAAAACCAAGAAGAAAATCTAGGAAATAACATTCTGGACATTGGTCCTGGGAAAGAATTTATGACTAGGTCCTCAGAAGCAATTGCAACAAAAACAAAAATTGACAAGTGAGACCTAATTAAAGAGCTCTGCGCAGGAAAAGAAACTATCAACAGAGTAAACAGACAACCTGCAGGATGGAAGAAATTACTCACGAACGATGCATCTGACAAAAGTTTTATATCCAAAATCTATAAGGAATTTAAACAATTTTAACAAGCAAAAACCAAATAATCCCATTAAAAAGTGGACAAAAAACATGAACAGACATTTCTCAAAGGAAGATAAACAGGTGGCCAACAAACATAAGAAAAAATGTTCAACATCTCTAATCATCAGAAAAATGCAAAACAAGACCGCAATAAGATATCGTCTCACATAGGCCAGAAGGGCTTTTATTAAAAAGTCAAAAAGTAACAGATGTTGGCAAGGTTGTGGACAAAAGGGAATGCTTCTACGCTGTTGGTGGGAATGTAAATTAGTTCAGCCTTTGTGGAAAGAAGTTGGGAGATTTTTCAAAGATTTTTGACAGAACTACCATTTGACTCAGCAATTCCATTATTAGGTATATATCCAAAGGAAAATAAGTAATTCTATGAAAAAGACACATGCACTCATATGTTCTTTGCAGCACCATTCACAATAGCAAAGACATGAAATCGACCTAAGTGCCCATCAAAAGTGGATTAGATAAAGAAAATGTGGTAATATACATGATGAAATACTATGCAGCCATAAAAAAGAATGAAATTATGTTCTTTACAGCAACATGAATGCAGCTGGAGGCTATTTCCATCCTACAAAAATTAACAGAGGAACAGAAAACCAAATACTGCATGTTCTCACTTATAAGTAGGAGCTAAACATTGGGTACTCATGAACATAAATATGGGAACAATAAACACTGGGGACTACTAGAGTAGGGAGGGCAAGAGGGCAGCAAAAACTGAAAAACTGCCTACTTGGTACTATGCCCACTACCCAATAGTAACAGGATAATTCAGACCCCAAACCTCAGCATCATGCAATATATCCATGTAACAAATAAAACAACTTTTATTTTAAATTCAGATGTAACCCCTGAATCTAAAATTTACTGTTGGTGGGTATGGAAATTAGTACAGACACTATGGAGAACAATATGGAAGCTCTCAAATCACTAAAAATAGAACTCCCATATGATCCAGCAATCCCACTGCTGGGTATATATCCAGTAAAAAGGAAATCAGTATACCAAAGAGGTATCTGTACTCTCATGTTTATTGCAATACTATTCACAACAGCCAAAACACGGAATCAATCTATGTGTCCATCCATGGATAAATGGATACGAAAATGTGATACATACATATATATATGTGTGTGTGTGTGTGTGTGTGTGTGTGTGTATATGTGTATATATATGTGTGTTTGTGTGTGTGTGTGTGTGTGTGTATACATACACATATATATGAATACTATTCAGCCAATAAAAGAATGAAATCTTTCCTCGGTTATTTGAAGCAGCATAGATTAACCGGAAGGACATTATATGAAGTGAAGTACGCCATGCACAGAAAGACAAATATTGTATGTTTTCACTCATGTGTGAGCTAAAAAATGTTGATCTTGTAGAGGTAGAGAATAAAATGATAGTGAGGCTAGAAAGAATAAGGAGAAAGTAATGGAGATAAGTTGACTATTGAAACAAAAATAGAGTTAGATAGAATATGTTCTAGTGTTCAGTGGCACAGTAAAGTGACTATAGTTATCAAAAACATTGTATAATTTAGATGAGCTGAAAGAGAACATTTGGAATATTCTCAACACACACACACAAATGATAAATGTTTGAGGTGATGAGTATACCAATTATCCTGATTTGATCATTACACATTGTAGGCATGCATCAAGATAGCATAGGTATCCCATAAAGGTATTTTATGGATCAAGAATGCATAACAGAGACCAAAACTGCATATTCAGCTTTGACACTGAAAGTCTAAACAGTAAGCTTCAAACTGCTGTAACTTTTCACATTGCTTTCAAAAGCTCCGAAGAAACATAATTGCTTGGAATATTGAATTCCAGAAAACACTGTTATGTGAAAAACATTTTACTTTGCTCTAATAAGATATATAACAATAATGGTAGTAAAGAAAACCAAACAATTATGTAGAAATTAAAAAGTGACAGTCACTAATCTAAACACTTTATGCATATTAATTCATCAGTATAACCCACTGAAGTATATGCTATTATTATTTCCATTTTTGAGATAAGGGAATTCCTCTGCAACAGAAAAAAAGAAAGCACTAAGTTAATACACTACCATGACCTGTTCCTTAGTATTTGTGTGCACTAAATCATGGACATTATCAGTGGTGTGAAACTAAGGCCTTTCAGTTAAAGAAGAGAAGGAGAGAATCTTTAATCAGAACACTAGTCTAGTGGAATATGTCAGAAATCTGGGTTGAGGTAATGGCATAAGTAGTTTAAAGATATCCTTAACATACACAATAATATTATTGTATATGTGGCCATCAAAAACCATGCTTAAACTGTTAAAGAGAATATGAACTATATGTACACCACTGATGCATCATATAATAAATGTAATGTTACAGGTCTTGTCAGCAACCCTACAATTTGCCATTTTCTTGTAAGAAATATTCTCTTATATTAAATTCTAGTAACTGATGTCTTTAAAATGTCTGTAAACTTAACAGACACAGTTACGAACCATAATAATTTATTTCCCATAATAGAAATTCAATAAATATTTTATATTATATCCAGTAAGAACTGTCTTTTCTCTATGCTGCCACTTATATACAAATAATTCTCTACAACTAAAAAGACAGGCCAATCCACTTATCTCTGTAATCAATGGGTTTACAGTCATAAGGTAGCTTATTATTTCCAAGTAATGCTTAGAAAGAACTAGCTCTTGGTAAATATGTGTTCTCTACCTACAATTCCAGTTATAAATATGACGATACTGGCATAAAGTGGTCATATTTCTTAATAAAATAGGCCTTCACTTGTTTAAATTACATATTGATTTGCATAGCAGTTGAATCAGATACCAATTGCTGGCTTGTGTGTTCTAAACTCTGACATTCCTGGTACTTGGCCAGATCTAATCAGTTTACCATCTCCCAAGATGCTAGGTGCTAGCATTTCGTAGTCTATCTTAGTGTGAATTGTCAACCCGTAGGCATAACCTTTGATGTCCAGGCTATTTCATACTAACGCACCTTTGTACTTGTTCTTTTTCCTAGAAATCAGTGAGTGTGTGTTTCTCCTCTGTCTCTCTCTTTCTCTTCCCACATTCCTCTTCTTTCTCACTTTTACCTAAGGAACACCTACTCATCATTTGAGACTCATTATAAACATCTCCCTAGATACACTTAAGTATTTCCTTCTTTTCTTTTTGCCAAACTGGGGAAACAATCTATTTTTGTACCAATCACAGTCTTACATTTATTTGTTCAAACATCTGACTCATTGACTAGTCAATAAAACACTTTAAGACAAGTCTTATGCGTCATGAAAGCTGTTCCCAGCACAATGATTGGAACATAGCAGATGTTCAATAAAGTAAAATGAATTAAATGACTTTATGATTTAGTCTACATTTTATATTATACTCTAGTTCCTAAATTTTCCCTCTTTGACTAGAAATTTATTTTTTCTGTAAAATATCCAATATTTATGAACAACTCATTTTTCTCTAAGTTAGTTCATTTTGAAAATATTATATAAATCATCATCAAATCATCTACTTATCAAGTTGTTACCTAGAAAGAGTAAAAATTATCCAGCTTCCAAAATTTATAAGTTCCTCTAACATTCTGCAGGTATTTCTAGGCTTCCATAATTAATCATCTGTTAATTACATTACCCACTTTAATTCAACAGTTATGAAAAAAATTACATTAATTGTTAGAAATAATTAACTTTTTGAGTTCAAGCTACCCTGTGGATAGTTGAGAGTCCATATTAAGTTATATGTATGTGTTTATATGGAATAGGCTACCTAAAATATAACTTTATTCTTTCATGTTTTTAGGTTAAAAGACAACTTAGTATTGAATACAGAATATGCAGTTAAGCTACTTGTATATAATTTATGATAAAGTCAAATAAATCTTATCTGTCTATGAGAATTATAGTGATGATGGTGATGTTAAGGCTGACTAGCCCCCACTGAATTTCTTCGTCAGGTCTACTTTTTAAACTATATAATTATAAATTTTATTCTTCAGGAAAATTTCAGGGTTCATCTGGCTACTTACTTTTCAGGGTTTTCTACTTCTTCAGTTACAAAATTGAGGTAAAACCTAAAAATAAATAAATCACAAACTATTAATGTATTTTGCCACTATTCAAAGTCTCAAATTTAAATTATTTGAAATTGAACTTAGAATTATGAAAATTATAACAATACTTACAGTAAGATGAACATAGCTAACCACCAAATACTCCCACAAATCATTTGTCTATTAAGCCACATTTACGGAGTGCTTCTCACATCGGAGACATGCACGTGGTAAGCCCACAGTCTCAAGGGGCTCCTAGTTCAGAGAATGCCCCACGGAATAGTGTGATACAGTGCAGAACCAACGCTGGAGCAAATACATGGGAGCCAGAGGGCAGGTCTAGCCCAACCTGGTAGGTCAAAAGAGGTTTTCTAGAGGAAGCATGGCCCAATTTAAAAACTGCTTTCTCTTTAGCCCTGGTGAGGTGGTGTGAGGCCATTCCTGACTGAGAATAGCACATGAGCACAAAAGTGTGGCAGAGGGGTGAGGCACAGGGAAATGAGTATTCGCTTAGTATTCTGCAGTACAAATGTGGCAGAGGAATTACTATAGAAAAGAACCAAACATAGGAAGGCAAAGATTCCTCTACCTTTTTCTTTTATATTTTCAGAAAATTTTTGCGAGATTAAAAAAAAAATCATGTTTTCAATATAATCTATTATTTTCTTATTATTTAAAATAACCTTTTACATAGATATGCAGGAGCACAGGTTCATAGGTACAAGTTCTCTTAAATCTAAAATCAAGTGGCTGGAATATTAGCCCAACAGCTCTTAGCATACTTTAAGTATCTCACTAGTTAAAACAAAGATGAAGAAATCTCTCTTGCTCCATCTTTATCAAACCATCTAAATTCACAAGTAGTCAGTCTATGTTCAAGGTTAAAGTGTCCACGATTTTAAGGACTGTTTAAGCTGAAACAATTGAAAAGCTGACAGAACAGTAGCAATAATGGTGATCTAAAAAGTCGGGAGCCAAAGATTGTTTTAATGACTAGAAAATAAGTTTTTCAAAATAGAGATCGTAGTTACACCGCGAAAGCCAGCAACAATCAGTCCTTATATCTGCAATATGCACTCCAGGAGGGGTTTGATGTGTTTGCTATAAGCCTGAGGCAATGGAAAGTAGGGGAAGAAAAAAGAAAGAAACACACTTACGCCAAAAAACAAAGACCATCACCAGTGAAAAATCACACACACCAAGAAACATTTCCAGGCTTCTCATGTCAAAAATAGCCAGTTCCTTCCTGACAGTTGTTTTAGAAAGTAGTCTTTTCCAACAATGTTAAAGCAATAAATAAAATATTTATGAAAAATACACACAATTTCAAAATCTGCCGTACTCCAGGGAGTAGACAAGAAGAAAGGGCTGGGAGCAGGGTGGTGGGTAGGAAGGAGAAAGCTTCTGGTTTTAGTCTAAACATTCACACATCCTGTGGGAAATCCACCTTTATGTTTTAGTTTCCAGAAATGAGTCCATGGTATTCCCTTTGGTTTACAACACTTCAAGTCCTCTAGAGAATGCTCGTATGATCTATTGTTCCAGCTTTTCTGTGATTGTGCATAAAAAGTACTGCAATGTTGGCAATGCATTCCAATACCCAACTTTGTGAATTATTTTTAAAATAAGCTTATTCTTTAGATTAGATTTGACACAATAGTACAAAATAATCCCAGCAAGTGCTTTAGAAAGACTAAATCCATTAAGAATAGGATTTAAAAGGAAGAGAAAAAGACACTGAAAACTATTTCCTATGGTACAATTAAAAAGAAAGAAAGAAAGAAAGAAAATCCAAAAAAAAAAGAAAAGAAAAGAAAATCCTACCAAGCAATGTTTAGCTTTGGATCAGGATATGGAACTGAGTTCCCCATGGCCACAGGAGGACTGGCAGATGTATTTCTCTGAATGCAGACATTGGCAATGTTATTAACGTTGCTCTGACCCAACTGTGTGACCTGGCTGGGTTCATGATTTCTTTTCCCCTAACTAAGCTTCTGTGTAGTAGCTTTATCATTCTAGAAAGGTTTTGCATTCTTCAGAGACAAAAGCCTCCTCTATTCATATTCCTCCCTGGGTTTGGTGATATCTTTTTTCTTGCTAACAGAGCAAGGTCTCCAGGACAACAATGGTCTTGATGCTTTTACTTACAAGCTAACAGGCTGGGCGGTAAGCTCTAACGACAATCGCTGTTTTGCTTCTGACTTCCTCATTTTCAATGCCCCCAACTTTTATGAGGGGGCTGTCAAACATTGCCATAGCAGCAGCATAGGGAGTGGAGAATCCTTTACAGTACCCCACCGATAATTCTACAACCCAGGCTTATAATTATATCTTAAAAGCGAGAGAAAGGTCAGAAAGGCAGGGATCACATTTTGGCAAGTGAATAAATGTCCCTCGCTTTGGGAATTTTTAGCCTCCATCTTGTTTCATTTACATCCAGTAATAACTTTTCCGCTGGAACTTCACACCAACAGACTATGTTTTTTTCTAAACACTTTTCTAAGACTGATGACCATAGATTAACAGCCAGATTACTTCTGCATCTTCACAAAGTGGCATTCAGGTAGCACAACAACCTGTTATAGAAAGTTACTTATCTGTCCCCTACGTAAGTCACTTGTATCAGATAACATTCCATTTTAAATCCTGGACTTATTTTCCAATACTGTGATTGAACCCTAAAAGGATATTAAAGAAATCAATGGTTTCTTGGTCTTTCAAATCGGGAGTAGACATGAGGATTATATGGGTAAAAGTATTAAATAAGGTTCATGTAAACTCCTTTTACCTTGTAATCAGAGTAATACTTTAGGGTCAGCATCAATAAAGTTATATACTAATAAAATAAATCAAAATGAAAAGGATCTTCATCCATGGAGAAATTCATCAGCCCTCAAAAGCCTACATAAGTGGGGAAGTTTTACTCTACGTAAAGCAGGTGACCTGAATTTTTAGTTCTGGGTATTGGAAAAGTGAGGAGGGGGAGCTGAAAGGATATTTTAAGATTACATGAGAACAGATCTATGGTATTCGCAAGCAAAAGAAATTTTATTCGACAGAATTAATCAAATCTCCCTTGTGACTATCTTCACATTCCACACTCCTGATTGTGTATTGCTGGTCTCCCAACACTTGGCTGTAGCTGAAAGCTTTCTCTACCTCCCCGATTTGCTCTGGTGTCTCCCAGTGACCCTCCCAGTAGCTTGGCTGCAGCCCCAGGGCACAGAGCTCTGATCCAGGGTGAACAGCCATAGAACAGTTGATTCTGCTTTAACCCTGTGATCACGTTCAGTTCTTTTGTCTGTCTAGCACCACATTGTGCTTTGGACAAAAGCAAAAAGACTTCAAAAATACTGAGTGATTCAAAAGTGCTGCTTACATTTATGGTTATAAAAATATTCTGGAAATACACAAATATTTTACACTGATCTCCTTAGAGCTACAATCTTCTAACACTCTTCAAACATATTTTGCCTCAAAGGCCACATTAAGATTTTAAGTTCCCATAACTCCCTAATTATCCTCTAATACTATATTTTCATAATTCAATGAGATTATTAGGGTGAATACTCCATTCATTTTGAAATATATCTATATTCTATGCATTAGCTAGAAGGTAAGAGCTTAAAAACTAAAGAAACAAAAGGAATTATATTTGTGTTGGAAATGCATTTATATAATTTTTGAGCTAGTATAGTTTTCTAATATTACTTTCAGGCTCATAGATCATTCTCACAGCTAAAGCTATATAACAGGGAGTTTTATAAATAATTTAAAAATAAATATTGCCTTGATTTACCCCATAACAATGAAATTTAATCTTACTATAATGACTTTTGATATTTAAATAATACCTCGTAGGCTTTCTTGCAATGATCATCTCTACAAAATCTTACTAGGTCAATATCCATAAGTACTGTTTTTCAAGTATCTGAACAAAGCAAGGTACAAATACAAAGTTTTAATTGCCTTAACCAGAACAGTAGGTATCACAGATGGACATGCATCAAAGGAAATATATCTGCGGCACCATGATTTTAATCATCTTTGCTTTATTAAATTTTCAGATATGGGGGAAATTTTAAGGAACACATAAGGTCCTTTTAAATGTAACAGATTGTCTGGTAGAGTTGACTGCATTATCTTGGTTTCTCTTTCTCTGCCTTTAGAGTATCATTAACTCCTGGGAACATCTTACTTGTTTCTACATCTGAGTTATTTCTCTATCTCATGAGAAGCTGGAAAAAAAATCAATTAATCACTATTTGTAAATACCTTTGGAGCTTTTGCTGAAAGGCCTTTTGACAAGTGAAGTATTATTTTTTAGTACCTTATGGCACTATTATGTCCTTACTGGTACATACTTATAAGTAATTTTTATTGGATCTTAAGACTCAGCATTTGTTTTTGTTTGTTTGTTTGTTTGTTTGTTTTTATGACATCAGGCTAAATCTAGTAGTCACCTTGACTGGAAACCTGTTATGTTTGCTTTGTCATGTGCAAAAGAATTGGCCTGGTAGAGGTGACAATACCTTATTTCGCATTTCAAGTAAAGCCTATCACACTGGATTATGGCTATTCGCATGTGTCTGGCACCTTGCTTGGCACTTAATTTGGGTACATAATGGGATTAATGAACTACACAAACTGCCAGATCTGGAGCTTTCAACTTACCAGCCAGCATAGGCATACATTCCGTAATAAAAAGCCAGGGGCAACCGTGTAATACTGGAATCTCTTCCTGAAAAGGCGTCTTTAAAGTTCTGCGTTTGACCTGTAATTAGAATAGACTGATTTTAGGATTTTTCAAAGAATTGGTATTCACTCTTAACCAGAAACATGGGGGTGTGGAGAACCATACTGTTTTAGGTCTAGATTTCTTACTCTCTGTTGATTACCATCTTTATCTATTTCTTGTGCCCATTCTATAAAAGGGGTCCCAAAAGAGATAAAAAATTGTTTGTGATCAAAGATTGATCACTAACATTATTTCACATTTCTGTTTTAATAAATTTATAACAAAGATGAAAATGGCGTTGAAAAATAATCCTTTGTTTGAGTATGCCTCTATTGTGACCATAAAAGAAGACTAAAGGGTTTTCTGTAAATTATAATCTTGATGAATATGGTAGAATTCTTAAAAGTAAAGACAATGTATTGCTGGGCAAAAAAAAAATGCAGAGAGGTTTCTAAGGGTCTATCCTTAATGATGAGATAAAAATAAATCTCAGGACCCCTTTCCTATATCATTTACCTTTCTGTTTTCTGTTTATCCTGTGTAGTTTATTAGATGCGTACCTCCTAGAGCAGAAGTTGGAAAACCCTGAGGACCATATCTGCCAACCTAAACTAAAAGCCTTTCTTACAGAGTTTTCTTTATCTCTAAGATAAAGATGCCCATTCATGAAGTATAGACTATGGCTGATTTCAGCCTATAATAGCAGAGTTGAGACGATATAGCTTGAAAAATTGAAAATATTTATCATCTTGTCCTTTACAGAGAAAGTCCACTGACCCTATGACCCTGTTGTAGAGAATGATATGGGTTTTCCCTATAAATATTGAAAAGATTTTATAACAAACTCTAAAATAAATAGGTTTCAACAGATTTTGCAGCAACATGTGAATTGAACACTTTTATTCCTCACATTTTTCTTTATTTTGTGAATCACAATGGAACTTGTTCCTATATATCTTTTGAATAATTTTAAAAGTTAGAAATTCAGATTTACTTTAGTCAGTGAATATTCAAGCTTAAGTAGAAACAATGTTTATATTGCCCAAAGAAAAGAGCAAATGAGATTAGCCAAATGGGAAGTGAGAGTTTCTTTTAAAATCAAACTTCATGTAAATAAACAGGAGGGGGATGGGGGTGGATGATGTGTAGGAGGCACTCTCTCTCCCAAGTCAAATCTCAGTTGTTTCCTGCATTGTCCAGGCACAACATATATATAAATATAATAAGTGTAAATATGAAGACCAAAAATGGAGAATGCTGAGTTATATATTACAACAATTTTTTCCTCAAAGTAAATGATTCCTAAACAGAGCTCACTTTTAACATGACACAATAAATTCAGAAATGCCCATTTTACTAAAACATGACTGTGTCCTTTAAGAAGAAAAATATACATAGAGGAATTCAGACAAAAACATCTGTTGAATATTCTTTTATCATGATCTGTGGTCTCTGGCATAAAGGCACAATATTTCTAAGAGTGCAGCAGCAAATAATCAATAAGAAAAACCAAATTCTGTAATGACTGGGTCACAAGCACAGAGCTTCAAAAGTGCCATTTTGAGAATACTACAAAAGAGAAGCAATTTCGTTTCTAAACTTCAGAAATATTTTGGCTATATAACAGAGATCTCAGGAAGATTAAAATCATAATATTCAAAGGAAAGTTCAACAAATCCTCACAAGTGAATATATAACATACAACTACTTTGAGGTTCTGATTAGAATAAAAATAAAAGCACAATTTGTATTAACAAGGTCTCTTACTAGAGTTTCAGATTAATGTGTAAAATGTGTGATCATATTAGAGATGAAGAAAATCAAAATTTTATAGTAATAGAGCAAATATACCTGCTAACAATGACCTCTAAATGTCAAAATTGACATTAAATGTACATTACATTAAATGTGGTAATATTATGAGGGAATTTCTCTCTTGAGGTGAGATCTCTGAAGAAGCCTGTCACATGTAGCACTGATATCATAATTATTAATTAAAGTGTCTCTATGTTGTAGCCACCAAAAAAAAATCTCAAGATATATCATGACCTCTGCTCTCAATGAATTTGTAATACAGTGACATTTGGGCAACCAAACCCTTCCTCATATACATATATAAATAAGTGGTAAAAACTGAACACAGTCTATAATGCTACCTATAATGTCTTAAATTACACCAAAAAAAAAAAAGAAAATAAATCTTAGTTTCAAAGAATATCATATAATCTTTTGGAATCTAAACTAGTATCAAAGAGCAGCCAATGACCCAGAGATTCTGCACTTTTCAAGTACTGAAGAAACTCTTTACAGAAGACTGAAGCGTTAACTCAGAAAAACAAAGCACTAACAAAACAGATTATTGTGCCTACATTCCTAATGAATAAGATAGAATATGAGCAGGCTAGCTCTGTGGAGGCCAAGGTATATTAGAAGAGCAAGCTCCTGTCTTCTCTTCAGTGCAAGCTCTAATGGTCAAAATCTTCATTGTGTTTATTCTGCGTTGGCCGCGGTTGCTGGATTTGACAAAAGCATTTCCGCCAGCAGGGCTCTAAAATCTCCCACTAGGCTTATTAAATGGGCAACAGCAGCTCCCCTTCCCAGCTACAGAGTAGCTGATCTTTCAGTGTTTGTTACTGTTGAATGCTTCTACCAACGGTGATGATTTTACCAAACTTTGGCAGTTCCTTTTGCCTTGTGTAATTCTTTTCCTGCAATGTCATTAAATTTCTCTATAAATTCCCTTTCTTGGAACAGACAATATTAATGCAAACATTAAATACTTCACATGCCCAAGTTATGTCATTCCTTTACAATTTCTCCTCACTTTCTTATTTATTTCCTGCTATGTTCCTGTTGCTAATTACATAACTCATGTGGATCTCTGTCCTCCGACAATTTCCACGGAGTCCAAGCAACTGCATATGGCTTCTTTCCTAAAACAACTAAAACTCTAAATGATATCACCTCTCAACTTCTTTTTCCATATTAAATGTTAAACTGTATAAAGCAAATAATCCCAGAAAATGTTGCATTTCAGGAGAAATGCAGATTTTACATGAAAAATAATGTAACAATAAAAATTAAGTTTTCACAACTACTTTATTGTGATAATTTTCGTGTTTAGGAATGCTGTTCCCATATTGACTCCTCTTTTGAGGATATCACTCTCAATTTAAAAGGAATAATAACCAGAAAGTAAAAGAATTATTGGTCATATTTCATTATTTTCCAGATACTTTTTCTCTGTAATCTTTATTACCATTCTTGCACAATTTTTAGGTTAAAAAGTATTTATCTGTAATTAAAACTAACTGGCAGATTTTTTTTTTCCACTTCGAGTTTTCACTCCAAACCATTATACCTAGAAAATTCACTGATGCCTTATTTTGCTGTTTGGCCCAGTCTTAATCCACTCTCTGCCATTCAACTGTAAAAACCAACTCACTTACAATGTAGCAGCATTTCAAGTCAATTAGATGACAATATAGAGTTTAAGCTCCATAAGCAGAGACTAATTAAGGATTCTGCTAGTACAAGCAAAAGTTAATGTTTAAAAAGACCAAAAACAGATAAGTATTTTAAAAAGCAGTTACTTTTCAGTCCATACCTTTAATTAGCTGCATAACTCCAGGGACTATAATTATCAGAATTGCTGTGAGCTTGCAAAAGGTTAAGACAATCTGGATCCGGGCACTCCAGCTGACACTCATGCTATTTAGGACCATCACCACAGCTGCAAACAAATAGATGAAGTTACAAAAGATGAATCCTCACTGGCACAAAGACCTTTTAGGTCCTTGTTGCTCAAAGGGCAATCTACAAGGCAGCAGTGTTGACGTTACCTAGAAGTGTTTTAGAAATGCAGAATCTCAGGCCCTGCCCCAGACCTAATGAATACAAATTGAGAGGTTCTCTGGCTGATTTTCATGCACATTAAAGTTTGGGAAACATGGATAAAACCTCTGGACAATGAGAAGTCTCTGTATATAAGAGTGGACATATATTATAGTACTCTAACAATCACATAAAAATGTCTTCTCACCAAACCCTGCCGCTATCACAGCATCCAATCAGATGGCTGAATTTGACACTCCAGCTTATGATGTGGCAACTCTTTTCTATCTTGATGATGGTATGCCTGCCAACGTGGATCGCACTCAGGAAGGGAGTTTAAAAGTTGGCTAAGATCTTATTTTTCACTCAGGACTAGCGTCAGGCAGCACTTTTCTTTTGGTTTTCCTCTTTCTAATTAGCATATCAAGGGATGACTTTCAACATGCCGTACAAATATAGTCTTTCAAGTTATATTTTAGGGCTTGAGTACAACCTTCTAAATAATGAATGCAAAAAAAACAACCAGGCTAGGATGCACATTGGGTTCAAAGCCAGCAGGATTTCTCATTCTTTCTGATGCTGTTTATAATTTCCCAAGCAGCAATAACTATCCACCTTCTACACCTTGTGGACCATGAAAAACTCAAGGATAGAGAATGGGTTATTCATCGCTGTATTGCTAGTGTCCAGCTCCAGGCCTGGCCCACGTAACTTAACATATTTTTGTTGAATGAATGAATGAACTGGGTCCTCAGTTAGAACATCTAAGGGACAAGAAAAATGGTGACGTTCTAAGACTTTTCTCCACTACTCTGGTGGACGACAGACGTTATTCTAGACAGTGGATTTCAACTTTATGCTCTTTCCACAACCTTATGCTTAGTGTTAAAAACCCAAAACATTACTTTATTCCTGACATTTACAATTATTAACTATAACCTTTATTTTTATAAAGATATACTCTCCCTAAACAAATATTAAAACTGTATATATTTCTCAAAGAATGAAACAAAACTACAGAATTCTTATTATTCAAGTTGCAATTGGAAGTTTTCCTTATGTATAGTAATGAGTCTGCCTCATAGTTTTCATTGCCTGATAGTTACTAGCTCACTTCAGAATTTAACAACGCAACTGTTGTCAACACGTAATATTTAAAGGCAAAAAAAAAAAGTGAAGCAGCTTAAACCCCCTAAAGGAAGACTAATATAACTAATATCATTTTAATAGTTTACATGCAGCCACTTAAAATTATAAGGCAGTTAAATATTTATTACAAGAAGGATATTCATTATATATTACTGACCAATATAGGAAGTTAGAGAGATGGATGGAAAAGAGGAAGGAAGGAAGGAAGGAAGGGAGGGAGGGAGGGAGGGAGGGAGGGAAGATACAGAATAGATACAGAAAGAAATAAAAATATCTGGAAATGTATTTACCAAAACTTCAACAGCAGGTGTTCACAGGTGATAGAATACTAAATAATTATCAGTTTTTTAAATTTATTATTTGGAATAGTTAAATTTTACAATGAACATATAGCATTTTGGTGAGTATACTTTCAAGTACACAACTGTATCCTTGAAATATACTTAAATATTCTCACCACAAAACAAAACAAAAAAGGGGTAACTAAATGAAGTAGTAGATGTGTTAACTAACTTGATTGTGATAATCATTTCTCTATAGATATAAAATCATTACATTATCCACCTTAAAATTACAATTTTGTCAAATATACATCAATAAAGCTATAAAAAAATTAAAAAGTAAATGAAGCAATAAAACACATTTTGTTTTTGGAAAAAATTCCAAGATGAGAAAAATAAGGGATCAGAAGATCTCATACAAAGTGAAATAGGGGGTTACTAATGAAGAAATATTTCTAAGGAGTAACTATGAGAACGATCAAAAAGGCCAAATCCCTGAATAAGCTACAGGGGCACCTAAGAGGGGATATTTTATCTGTGTTGGAAGCTGAAAACATGAGGAGATAGACAGGTCTGTTGTCAATGACAAAGTACATTATTTTATCTGAGGAATCACAAAAATAAAATTCTCTCTCCCCAATAGAAGGCACTTATATATGAAAATAAGTTAGTGCAACTCTGCTACCCGCTCCATCATCCAGTGGTTCTTTTCCTTTTCTATGCAAATGACTTCGTGATGCATCATTACATAATAATTATTGTTTTAATTAAGGAAGTTCAACATTGGCATAAAAGTGAAAAAAAATTGCCTCATGTGGCCACCAGCAACAAAAGGGCAGTGTTTTCTTTTAAATAGGGCTCCTAAAACCCAAAGCACACTCCATTTATGAAAGTTCTTTCCACAATAGAAAAGAGTTGTTATATAGAGAGAAAGGAAAAAAAAAAGAGAGAGGAAAGAAGAAAGATAAAAAGGGAAAGAGTCAGGCAAGGAGGAAGGAAAGAGAGAGAGAGGCATTCTTATTTTTGTGACAACTCTGTTACTTCCATAAATAATATAAGTACCTAATGCCTATTGAAATAGCAAAAAACATAATCGGGGTATTTGGGATTTTTAAAAATACTTTGTAAAGTTTGCTTAGGCAAATGGAAGACAAAATCCAACAGGTATTATGAACTGATCAATTCACCTTGCTTTCCTCTCAGCTTTACAAAAATTCTCATTAAGATGCAAGTACAGTGCTAGGTAGAAATCTAAATTAGTATAGACACTATAGAAAACAGTACGGCGGTGCCTTAAAAAACTAAAAATAAATCTATCATATGATCCAGCAATCCCATTGCTGGGCGCTTGATTGTGGTTATTGTTTCAGAAGTGAATTCATACATCACACTTCATCAAACTGTACATTTAAAGCATGTATGATTTATTGTGTGACAATTACACCTCAACAAAACTTTTAAAGAAGAAAAAAGATGACATTTTTTTTCAAAGGTTTCTCAAAACCCTGCTTTATCTGAGCATCCAGACATTGTACTCATTATTTGGTACACCAAATTCCAGCTGAGATGCACCTGTGTTACCCTGAAGGCATAGCTTAACAAGTAAGACAGCCAGTGAGAGGCACAGGGAAGGTTCTCTAGTGGCTATAACTGCTGTTTCATCATGTGTCTTTACAGTGAAATTTATGTCTATGTAGTTGCTTATCCAACAATATTGAAAAGGGATTTGGGATTCACTAAATGCAAGAGCTTTCTGAGTTTCTGAAACAAATAATACATACTTAAAAAAATTACCACCTACCCACATTGCAATAATCAAAGAAATCTAAGCCAGCTCTTTGGTCTTCATTTTACTTCCTTTGAATAACGATTGCTAATTTCACACATGAGAAAATAATTTTGGCATTTTTTTGTGTGCGCGCCTTAAATTTTACCAAAATAAAAATGCAGGGACATACAGTTTTTATTTACTTATTTATGACACAGTTTCCTAAGAAATGAAATGTGGCAATGGAAGCTATATCTATAAATCCTGGAGATAAGAAATACATATTTGAAGGAAGCTATATTTGAAGAGGATGTTTAAGGGAAAGTTAAAGACTGAAGCTGTGATTTAAGGACTGGCAAGTATTTCTTTCTGCACGCTGTGTAATTCAAGTCTGTCTTTGGATTTTGAAGAGTGAGATTACAGAGTCTAGATATATTGAGTTTTCTCCCAGGTTCAAGTTTTTCTTGGCTTCTGAATTTTGAGTACTTTGTGCTAAACTGATAAAAATATATGGATGTTGTGAATATATGTTTCGTGTTGAGATAAAGTGGGTTGTTTCACTGCTGTTTGTAATGGCTGCCTGAATTCCTTTTATCTTTTTATTAGCATTTGTTTCCTGGATGCATTAATTTTAGAGAAGATATGTAGCAACAAATACTTTAAAAAGTTGGGTGACAGTCTATATCTAGGATTTCACTATTAGGAATAAAAATGTTAAGTGATACATAAATATATACTATTTTGGCAGAAATTTCACAAAGACTTTACATGAGTAATGTTATTTAATCCTCACATCTCTATGACATAGTTATTTTATTGGCCTTATTTTTCAGATGAGCAGCTGAGACTCAAGATATTATTTAACTTGCCTATGTTTACACAGGTAGTAAGTGTGAAGACTGGAGCCCAGGTAATGTAACTCTGGAGCCCACACTTTTACCATTAGTTCCCAGGTAACAATGAGGAAGTAGTTCAGAAGACATACATGATCCTTATGTTTAAATAATAGTGTACCTAGTTCTTTTAAATTCATGATGGCTCTTTCCCTCTCCAGAAGTTCGTATTTATTAGCTAAGATTTCAGGAACCTTTGATTCCACATTTTATTTGTCACCCTACTAAAGTATATGATAGTTGCTCTGCAGTACTTGTATATTTTAATACTATGCATATTTACCTAAGAATTGATTGTATTGGTAATTTAGTTATGGTAGAAAATAAGTAGACATAGCTAGATGTCACAAGATTCAAACAGAGCCACTTCATATGCTATATTTGATGTGTTAACACAGAAATAGTCCCAGATTTTCTTTTATGTAATTTACTGGTGCTAGAAAAATACAAACGGCAAACAGAATATAAAGTGATACCTTTGTAGAACTGGCTATTTTTTTTTTTTACAATGAAATCATGAATGTTATTTTGCTTGTTCCTCCCAATTACTCTCACAGGTTTGAGAAGTAGGATGGAGCTCTTAACTCATCTATATAAAATAAATTAGCAAGGAAATTGACATCCAACAATTGATGGTGTTAGGGATGGATCTAGGACTGGATCTCATATCGTAAAGAGAATGTTTTTATTATGTTCTGACATTCAAGTGTGTATATAGATATATATACTTGAATATATATATCTATATATTTTATATATATATATACTTGAATATATATATCTATATATTATATATATATACTTGAATATATATATCTATATATTTTATATATAGATATATATACTTGAATATATAGATCTATATACACACTTGAATGTCAGGACATAATAAAATAATTATTCAAGTGTACATATATATTTAAAATATATAATAACCCTATATAATTATACACTTGAATGTCAGAATATAATAAAAATATTCTCCTTAAGAGAATAATTATATTCTGACATTCAAGTGTATAATTATATTGGCTTCAATTTCAGGAAAACAGAGCAACAGATAAATATTTTAAATATTGAGCATACTTTAATGCTTACAGAATCTATAAGAGCAGTGAAAATTCATGAACTTCTATAGAAGGTGAAGAAAGTAATTACAATATTGGGCTATAAAAGAACAGCCAAATGTGAATCTCTAAGATTTTTCATCTAAACATCCATGTACCTGACATATTTACTGGAATGGATGAAATTTGTATAAACAAAAGCTTTTTTACCTTCATTAAATTTGACAGAAATGAAATACAGTTACTTAAAAAAATGAGAGTGAATAAGCCCTCAGTTAACTCCCACCCTCATATCTCAAATGGTTGGCTAACATTTCACAAAATTTGAAATTCTTTTTTTTCTGTGATACAGCAAGACCCTTCAGGTTTGCTCTGTTTCTATGCTTAACTAGAGATTTCAAATGGCCACAAACCGTTTCCTTCCCCAAGGATCACAGGGAAGCAATTCATGCAATTAAACTCTATTTTCTACATCTTGGTAACCTTCCACCCCTAACAGTTAGAAAATCACTTAGACTCACTTTGAAGAAAGCAGGATGTGAGAGATTTGACCCTAGATAAATTTCTTCTTCTCTATTTCCATCTCCACCCCCTGTTGCTCCATTAAAGCTAAATTTTTCTTAAAGACCGTTTGACTTTCCCAATTAGGGCACTGATTTACATTACCTACCGCTGAGTAATAAGGATTTCCAGTTTTCTTTTTAACTGTTGCTGATTATGAGAACACATTTCTTTCCCAGAATTTCAAGCTTGCAGAAGGAACATCAAAGTTTAAAAATGAATGGTGTAACTCATGATAACAATAGAAGGAAATGTCTGGGTTCGTCTAAGATTTACTCAGGCTCCTTGTTAACTATTCCGTCACCAATGTCTACTGCAGAGGTTTTATAAATCCCAACATAGTTATCCTTTTCTATAACTGTTTTAAAGTTTAGCTTGACCAGTTTCCATTTAATTCCCTGAAACACATTTTTTTCCTTTAAAATGTTTGACTGAATTGGGATAAACAAGGAGAGAGTTATATAGACTTACAAAAATAAAAACATAGCATTATTATTCATGTAATTTTAACTCCAAAGTGACCAAAATTTGTGAATTTATAAATTTTTACATACAGTCCACTTAAAGTCTTATGATTACAGTTTTTAATTAATAACTATTATTGTTAATTTACAGAGCTCTCAAAAATGCCATCCCTGCTCTTCTCTTTTTTAAATATAATTGTGATATGATTCTTCCTCAGTCATTCAAGGGACAAGAAAATGGTGAATATAACAATGACTGATAGTCCAATCCCTTAGTGGAACAGTGGACTTATCAAGAACTTTCTATAGGCAAGGCGCTCTGATAAAGATCTTAAAAAATCTGACTTTGATCATGTCTTTTGCGGGAACACGGATGGAACTAGAGGCCATTATCCTTAGCAAACTAAAGCAGGAACAGAAAACCAAATACTGCATGTTTTCACATACAAGTGGGAGCTAAATGATAACAACTCATGAGCACAAAGGGGAGCAACAGATCCTGGGGCCTACTTGAGGGTGGAGTTTAGAAGGAAGGAGAGAATCAGAAAAAAATAACTTGGGTACCAGGCTTAGTACATGGGTGATGAGACAATCTGTACACCAAACCTCCATGACACAAGTTTACCTATGCGACAAATACGTAAACTCCTGAACTCAAAATAAAAACTGAGAAAAGAAAAAATTAAAAAGAATATGACCTTAACAAAAAACTGACTTCATTTAATCTTCCTTCAGCCATTCAAGATATTAATAGACTATCTTCTCATGGCCATTTTCCCAATAAATAAAACTGAAGCTTAAATACGTTTAAAGACTAGCACAAGATCACATAGTAAAAATTGTAACACCAAGTTTCAGTTTCAGGTTGTTTGCCTCCAAAGCCTAAGCTGTAGCCACTATGCTAAAATGGTTCATCTCACAAAACCTTAGGCTGCTAGACCTGAACATCATATGAATCAAACTCTATTTCATTTTTATCATTTTCCTACTGCCTGAAAATACTGAAGACATCTAATTCTCCAAGTTAACAAGTAAACAGACTATAAACTTTTCTGCTAGAGAAAAAGTTCTTAGACTTCTCAGAAAGTCAGTCAACAAATACTTATTGAGCACCAACAATATGCTAGGAGCTGTATGAGGAACTGGAAATATAGCAATGAATAGATCTCTAGTCTCATGGAACTTCAAATGATGTTTCTCCAAAAGTATGAAGAGCTACCATTTTGATTGTGTTCACAATAAATTGAATAAAATCATGTGTTTGGTGCATGCAACATGGATGGAACTGGAAGACATTATTTAAGTGGAATAACAGAAAAAGAAAGTCAAATGCCGTATGTTCTCAGTTACAACTGGAAGTTAAATAATGTATACACATCAACATAGAGTGTGAAACAATGGACATCAGAGACTCAGAAAGGTGAGAGGGTAGGAGGAGGATGAGGGATGCCAAATACCTAATGATCACAAGGTACACTGTTTGAGTGATGGTTACACTAAAAGCTCAGACTTGACCACTACACAATATATTCATATAACACAACTGCATTGTGCCCCCTAAATCTACTTTTTTAACTTTAATTAAAAATAAATAAGTAAATAACAGGCAATATCCTAGGCATTATCCTGTTGAAACACAGCCATACAAACCAAAAATTCTTCTATGATTACGCGATTCAGTTATTCCTGTGTAGCTTTCTATGTATGAGTAGTTAAAACTTGGTTAAATGTGATCTTATTGATTCTTAAGACAGTGATTCAAATAGCACCGAGAATTAAGTTATCCTTTCCCATATTTAAGGATTTGGTACCTGGCATCTTTAGGGAAGTTAAAGACATATATGGCTTCATATCACTCATGTAATTTTGTACATGTTCTTCTTTTTGCTTCCTTTTTAAATCAAAAAACATTTGTACTCATTGATAAAAGATGAACACCTTCTCAATTTGTAGACCATAAGGAAATCCAGTTGAGAAATGCAATTAATAATCAGTCTTGAAAGAAAACTTTTTTCATGAGCAACAACAGGCAGCTAACATTAAAACACTGGGAGTGATGGCTGCTAACACTATAAAATGTATGAACACAACTTACACAGCCAGCATATAAACGTAACTCCATTATTACACATGAGATATAATTCAATATATAGCTAATTTCCAATTCAAATAACCTATAAAATAATTGGGTTCATCTTGAAAAGTCTCATTCACATATAAATGAGTTAATATTTTACTAATAAGGTAATTTTTACTATTTAAAAAGATTAGCCATCTTATCTATTGACCAAATACAAAACTAGCATGGAATACAATATTGGATGCCACTCCAAATCCAGATTCTTTGTTTTCCAGCACAGATCTGGAACTGTAAGCAAAAAGGACATGATGTGAGAAGCAATCCCATAATGCAAAATGTCTAGAGAAACTTTATCTTCAATCATTTTTGTGTTGTTCTTTCCTTTTTTTACATTTATAGCCGTAATACTCACTTATGCCCACAGCTGTAATGAGCTTGATTGCAAGTGCAGGGATTTCACATTGAATAAAAAATGGTTCCAGAATGTAGCGTCCAAATGCCAGGGATATCACAGCAGTAGCTGCAGGGCTAAAAACAATGTATATATTTAGGTTAACCGCAGGGGGAAAAAATAGCATTTTCATTCATTTTTTTCTACCTTGAGTGTATTTAGCATATGAAACATGGTTAAATATGAAAGTCTGTAATTTTCAGAACCTGTACTTGATTAGGTTGCCACAGACCTTCCAAATGAAATGTTTCCTACAACTTTGGTGGCTAGTTTTTAAACTTCACATATTCTTGGGAAAAAGAATTCTCAGCTTTTCCCCTGCTCTCCCGTATTTGACTTTTCCTTAAAAATCTGGTTTATTACATGAGAGCTAGACAGAGGTAGGCCTTACAAAAAGCAGTCTTCTTTCTCAAAATGTCAATAAATAAACTTCAGCCATATTATGAATTTGTTAATACACAGATCTAATATGTCAAGAGAATGAACACAAAACTCAACTTGAAAAATTAATATTAAGTGTTCCCTGCAAATACATGCCTAAATACTTGATATTGTTTTATTCTTATTTTTTTCTGTACAGACAAAATCTCAAAGCCAAGTGATTATTCTTAATACTATAGTAACATTCAGATGCAAAGCATAAATTTTCAAATAATAGATTTATTATAATCTTATACAATTAAGAAAATGTAAATGAGACAAGAATATGAAATAAATTCAGGTATATATAAATATAGGTAATAAATCATTCTATTTCAGTTCTTCAAATATTTTTATGAGAAAATTGCACAACCCTTTTCATTTTAGATGTAAGTATATATGAATGTTTTTTCCATACACATGCAAGTCTGTGCAATTATCTAATTTTGTATGCCAAACTCCCTTTTTTAGCTTGTCTTTCTTCTTGTGGTTATCCAACACTCATGCCTGATCCATAGATTACCAGAAAACCAACCACCAATACATGTTCCCAACTTTGGCTAGCTGATACTGGAGAGCACCATAAGGTTTTCGATTATCTTCTTTTCTCAGACACCCTCCCATCTTCCCCCAAACAAAATGCTATTCTCCATCGTTTATACAATTTTTGATGTATAATTTAAAATCTGATTATGCCATTTCAGCACTTTCAAAATGTGGCCAGGATATGCAAAAATCCTTCACATTGCATTCAAGTCTCCACGCGGTCTAAGCGCTCCCTCTCTACCTCTTCAGTTAGCTTCCTCCCACTAGAATGATATGAATCTTCTCTGCCTGCAGCTTCTGCAACTGATTGACTGTGTTTGATACTTCAGATCTGGATTCAACTTTCCTTTACCAGGAAAAGCCTCTCCAACCTCTGACTGGGCCTGATCTCTTGGACCATATTCTTACCGAAGCCCTTGGCCTGTCTTTCACAGTGCTTATCACAGTAGCAATTTTATATTTACCTATGTGATTTGTCGATTGATAATGATTTCCTCCCACTTGTCTCTGAGCTCTAGGGGTATAAAATTGTATCTATCTTAATCACAATTTTATCTCCAGTGTCTATCACATAGCAGAAACCCAATATATATTGAATATACAGTGAATTCACAAATTTGGTTTAATGAACCCTGCTATGTACTGAGAGGTGATATTTCTCTCCTTGAAATCTACGTTTTACTGATAATTTCTGGCAATACTAACTTACTCTACAGGTATAATTTTATACCTGGGAAGAACTTAGGAACTATGGGTATTAGTAAAAGAAGAGGTGTTTAAATACCTAGCTCTCGTCCCTCTTCATGTCATTGGTTATTCTGCCTATTTAAAAGGCCAACTCAGCAATATGAGTATGTTATGACAAAAAGATATATGAACATATTTTAAAAGCTTCTAGAATACATAGGTACTTTCTTCTTTCAACACACACACACACACACACACACACACACACACACACACACAGAAGTAGTTTTAACATTTAATTATCAGCTACCTGGGAGCAGAAATCATGACTGATTTCACTTTAGATCTCTTTTTCTTGTCATTTACCATTCTGTAGCAGTTTGTGGAATAAATAAATAAATAGATGAATATTTTGTCTTTGCTATTACAAGATATAAGCTATATTTACATGGATTGATCATGCTCATTATAACACCAAGCATTGAGCCAAAGTTATACCACTAGTACATGGCTGAAGATGGAGTCAAGTCCAACTACATCAAGCTCCAAAGCCCACCAGCCTGACAGGCCAGCAGTCTAAATAAGTATGATATGCATTTGAATGTTGAGTATGTCATACTCAATATATACTAACACTAAAGTTTCAATTATTCTTCAAAAATCATTTAATACCTAACAAAAACTGAGCACTGAGTTAAGTAGTATAAAGGTTACAAAAAGATCTTATCTATATGTGCTTGAAATGTTGGCAGTTTTAACAGGGAAACAAGATGTAGACACCTAAAATATTAACGAAGGACAGAAAATATCATGTTCAATGTCAAATGAGAAGCAGAGACTGCATTTTCCAGAAGAACTCAGAGATGAAAGAAATAACATAAATTAGAATAAACAGGAAATTAATTGTGGGAAAGGTAGGATTTAAGATGACTTTTGAAGAGCAGGTAAAATTGAGATAATCAAAAAGGAACAAAAAGTACATTCCCCATGCAGGGATTTTAGGAAAGGAAAAAAATACTTCTTTATTATTATTTGATTATAACAATCTTAAATAATGCAGAATTGTTTAAAATGAAAACAGACTTCATGAAGTATACTGATATGATACATGACACTACTTTAAAGGTCTTTTTTATGTAAAAAGAAAAAAGGCTTCTAACATCTTAAAACTCATAATTAGTGTTAAGTCAATTCTTATTAGCACCGTATTTGCCACTTAGCCATAAAAGCGCACATGAGCTCTCAATCATATATGTTTAATAAGAGCAGATTTCCCCACTAATAGCCATTAAATTCTGTAATCAGAATGTACATGTCACATTTTATCCAAGTAGTTACCCTTGAGGAACTGTGATACTCTGAAATGCACATATGACATCATAAGCTTCCCACAAAGTTGAAGGAAACTTGCTATTCAGAGTGACTTGGCACTATTCAGTTTGATTTTAAACCAAGACAATCAGGAATGTCAACACATTCTTACAACAAAATCAAAAAAGACCTTTGCCACTATAGTTCCTGATTTGTTTAATGTGAGGAAATGAGTCACTTGACTGTCATGCAAACTCTGTTTTTTTATGAAGCATAAGACTTACTAAGTTGTTAGGCACAGAAGTGTCTTCATCACAATGACTAAAGTCAAATGATATAATGATGTAATCTACAATAAGAAAAAACTCTAATTCCTAGTATAATATTTAATTTTATCTGGTCAGTCAAAAGGTATCCAGGTGAATTTTCATGTTCATATCCTTTCAAGTAACCATCTTTCTCCTAGAAATGTCAAAAAGAATAGCTGAGGGTTAAAGAAAGGTAGATACTTTTAGAAGTTTGGCATTGCTGGCGAACTGCTTGCTTGCCAGTGACAAAATTGCATTAAAAATATCTTAATCCAGAAAGGTATTTTCTCACAGGCTTTATATCCTGAGGTAAACATGCTTATCACACAGTCACACGACATGCATATTTCTAACCAGTTAAAAATAATCAAGGTGATTCATAAGAATGAATTGGTTTATTTTTTCTTAATTATTTCTACTATGCTCTTACCGTATTACGAGCAGTTCCACCCAGACTCGTACAAAAGCTGGTAATGGACCAAAGACTTCCAAAATATATGTGTAATGACCTCCGGATTTCTTTATACTTGTTCCCAATTCAGCATAAGACAAGGCTCCTGTGAAATATTTGTCACAAAATGGTATTAATTTAATACATTTTCAAGACGCCTATACAATTATGTTTATGTTGCCTGAGATGTAACTACCAGCTTTGGTCTGAATGGCATACTTATCAAGACAAATAACAGTCATCTAATTGCTAAGACCCACCGAGTTTATTCTATTTGAACACTGTAATTTTACTTGAAATGATAAAGACACATGTCTACAATATCATGTGTTCTAGAATTTCGAGCTGAAAACCTAGAAACAGGGCAAAAAGAGAAGAGAAATGCCAATACTATTGACCTATTTTTAGAAGAACATATCTCACACCAAGACAAGACATTAGTCCAAACGTTTGAGTTAGCTTTTAATTTTTTTAAGTTTTTTTTTTTAGAACCCTTTTAATAAGCATGTTCTGTAGCAAATAAAAATAAACAAGCTGTATCCATTCTTTTTTGTGTGTGACGGAATCTTACTCTATCACCAGGCTGGAGTGCAGTGGAGCAATCTCGGCTCACTGCAACCTCCGCCTCATGGGTTCAAGCTATTTTCCTGCCTCAGACTTCCAAGTAGCTGGGACTACAGGGGCGCACCACCACACCCAGCTCACTTTTGTATTTTTAGTAGAGACAGAGTTTCACCATGTTGGCTAGGATGGTCTCGATCTCTTGACCTCATGATTCATCCTCCTCGGCCTCCCAATGTATCCACTCTTTAGAAAACTATGGACTCTATGTCTTGCAAGATTTCATTTAATTTGTGGGATATATTTTGTAAACATAATGAATTCTGACTTAGCCTGTTTCTATAAAAAGCTATCTTGGATGTTTTTTGAAGTGTACATTCCAAATGGTTGGAACAATATACTTTTTTTTTTTTTTTTTTTTTTGAGACAGTTTCTCATCACCCAGGCTGGAGTGCAGTGGCGATCTCCTCTCACTATAACCTCCGCCTCCTAGTTTCAAGCGATTCTCCTGCCTCGGCCTCCAGAGTAGCTGGGATTACAGGTGCCTGCCACCATACCTGGGTAATTTTTATATTTTTAGTAAAGCTGGGGTTTCACCATGTTGGCTAGGCTGGTCTCAAACTCCTGACCTCAGATGATCTGCACACCTTGGACTCCCAAAGGGCTGGGATTACAGGCATAAGCCACCACTCCCTGCCAGACTATACTTTTTAAAATGAGGTACTATAATGTATATTTGTGTACATTAGATCAAATTAACTATAAGCTAAATTTTTAACATATAACAACACAACTCACATAAAATTAGACAAATATGCAACCCCCCAAAACCTCAGTTTCACTCTCTGTAAAATAGAGATCTCAATTTCTACCTTGTAAGGGAGTTGCATGTATAAATGCGGCAGTGGGTACCAAGGACAGTACATGGGCTGACACATGGGAAGCACCACATGAAATATAGCTATACTTTCTTAATTTGAGTAATTAACAAGAAAATAAAAAGTATGTCTTGTCATTATGTGAAAAGTTCTGTCTGTACTGTCAAGTGCTCAAATGTAAGAACACAATTTTTTTTTTTTTTTTTTTTTTTTTTTTTGAGACGGAGTTTCACTCTTGTTACCCAGGCTGGAGTGCAATGGCATGATCTCGGCTCACTGCAACCTCCACCTCCTGGATTCAGGCAGTTCTCCTGCCTCAGCCTCCTGAGTAGCTGGGATTACAGGCACGCGCCACCATGCCCAGCTAATGTTTTGTATTTTTAGTAGAGACGGGGTTTCACCATGTTGACCAGGATGGTCTCGATCTCTTGACCTCGTGGTCCACCCGCCTCGGCCTCCCAAAGTGCTGGGATTACAGGCTTGAGCCACCGCGCCCGGCCAGAACACAATTTTTACCCAAGCTACTTCTGAAAATAGAAGTGTAGAAAAGTATTACTGATTAGTAATACTTCAGACAGAACAGTCCAATATAAATATAATTTGGATATTCAGTGAAATCTTAGTGTCACCTATTTTATATCCGATTTCTAAACTTCTCATGACATCTAAGTCACCTAGGAATAACTTTTTTTTTTTTTTTTTTTTTTTTTTTTTTACTTTTTGAGATAGGGTATCATTCCGGCACCTAGGCTGGAGTGCAGTGGTGCAATCTTGCCTCACTGCAACCTCCACCTCCTGAACTCAAGCAATCCTTCCACCTCAGCCTGCCAAGTAGCTGGGACCACAGGCACATGCTCAGCTAAATTTTTTTGTATTTTTTGTTGAGACAGGGTTTCATCATGTTGCCTAGGCTGGTCTGGAACTCCCAGGCTCAAGGGTTCTGTCTGCCTTAGCCTCCCCAAATGCTGAGATAATAGGCATGAGCCACCAGGTCTGGTCTGGGAATAATTTTTAATTCAAACACTCAAATGAAAAAGAGACTGTAATCAAGAGAGTACAGATTTTCTACAAGAGAAATTCAAGAATCTCTATCATTTTAAAATTTGTACAAATTAATTCTAAAGTAACTAGTCTGCAGACTGATATTTGGGGAACACTGATATATTTCCTCTATCTATAACTACTTATAATTAGTTGCAACTCACTCTCCATGGGGAAACATTCGCCATGTTGGTAGGCTGTCCAGAAAAGGATCCAATATAAAATGTTATTGGAAGGAGTCTTAAGTACCTCAGAATTTATTGTCAGAGAATCAATACCTAGACCTCTGTATGCTTTGCTGAAACTCCAGGATGGTTGCCCTAGGTTTAAACTGAGTTCTGGGGGAAGGATTTTCATTTAAAGGTCTCAAGCTTCATAACCATTTTGCCCAGACGAAAAAGGTTCAAAACAAGATGTAAAAATCCGCGTATTGACCCTTCACTTAAAAATACATACATACATACATACACACACACACACACACACACACACACACATATATATATATATATATATATATATATATACACAAATATACAGATTCTTTACACTTGTTCCCAGAGTTCTAGTTCTAGAGTCTTTTCAAAAAGAAGGATTGTATTTTCTTTACATTTTGCTTTGCTTGCTGTTAGGGAGGCACTCCTGTCCAAAAGCTTCCGGTAACTTAACAAATGCAGTGTAAATACAGATAAGTAGATTAATACAATAGCACACTCCCTGCAATTACTAATTTAAAAAAAATACCAACTTAAGTGTAATCTTAGCTTGTCTCCTTAGCTGTTTCCTCTTTTTTATGTTCTTTTGAGCTTTTTAAGATGATATATAATATGCATACGCATAATTTCATAGCGCAAGTCACCATCACTTTAACTAGTTCAATACTCATAGTAATCTATTTTATTACATCTGAGTAATCCTTTATTATGTGCAAAAACTGAAGCACATCGTGGAAGCTGCATGTACATAAGTATGCAAAGCCCAATAAACTGGTTGTGGTTCTTCTGATTAGATGTTGATTTATTCTGAATATATAAAGTGCCCTAGGAAGATTTAAAGGCTAAGGGTGCACAAAGTCATTTAAGATGATCAACAATTAGGTTTCTCCTTATCTATAAATGCATACACCAGAGCTATTTGAATATTAATAGTGGCTAAGGGTACTATTATAGTTTTTCATAACCATATTACTCCAAATTATTTTATGAGTGGGAAGTAATACTAAGAAATAAAGACACACAATTGTTACTTAATATTTAATAAAATACAAGTTAGTCATATAAATATGACTAACAAATTTTCTTAAAAACCCCAAATAATTCCTCTGTAAATCTTTCTATACTATGACCTTGTTTTAACAAGTTTTATTTAAAATAACTTATTCCTAAAATGAAATTTGAGGGCCATGCACAATGGCTCATGCCTGTAATCCCGGCACTTTGGGAGGCAAAGGCGGGTGGATCACGAGGTCAGGCGATCGAGACTGTCTTGGCCAACTTAGTGAAATCCTGTCTCTTCTAAAATTCAAAAAGTTAGCCCGGTGTGGTGGTGCATGCCTGTAGTCCCAGCTACTCAGGAGGCTGAGGCAGGAGAATCGCTTGAACCCAGAAGGCAGAGGTTGCAGTGATCTGAAATTGTGCCACTGCACTCCAGCCTGGGTGACACAGCGAGACTCCATCTCAGAAAAAAAAAAAAAAAAATGGAATTTGAGTTCTCTAGATGAGTGTCAAACCAATGATTTAAAACATCATAGGGCCTGAGTAAAAAGAATAAATGGATTGGTACACATGGGATCAAGAGTTAGTATGTGTTAGTCCTAGTTAGCGTTAGTACTTGTTAGTTAGACTTAGTCCCAGAGTTAAAACAAAGAGCAACTTTTAAGTGTAGAATCTTTCCCAAGAAGAATAAATACATCCATATAGCATAAATCAAATTCAATATTTTTTGACAATTCGCCAGTTTTTATCATCTTTACAACAAACTCAGGTAGCTCTCTCGTAATTCGTCTACTTCATAAGGGCCATTTACTTACCTCTTTACTGTTAATTCTCAAATCAATAGATGAGACATAAATTTTGAAGAAAAATTAGTAATTATACTTCTACCAGTTCCTTTCAGATTAATTCATTGAACAGGTGGACAAATTATGTGTGTCTCTGGAGAGCAAGTGAAATATAGATGAAAAAAACCAGATCTGGGCAAGCACAGAAAACTAACACCCAGCTGAAGTTTTAAAACTTGTATTGCAAAAGTGTATGAGTGGTGAGGAGTGATGAAAGGTTGAAAAATAATTTGAAATATGCTCAGGCCATTGCAATATACCCCTTTATGATAGGCATTGAGTTATGTGCCATCATAATCTCTCCATGTCAAGGACTTTTGAAAGAATATTAAGAGCTGACAAGCACATGAACTTACAAAATATTCTTAAAAAGACTGTCACCCATTTGTTTCGCTATTAAAAAGTCAATAAGACTTCTGCTGAACACTCTGTTCTATGTCTAAATAGCCCACGCCAGGCTCCACTCCACAGGTGTCTCACTCAGCGTGCCAGCTGCCAGAATGTCCCAAACTAAGCACAACTGCCCCGCACAGAAACTGCGCGTGTTTTTTACTGGGTCATAAAAGTTAGCCTTTGCTCGCATCACCACGGGGAAAAGTCAGAAAATAGCCTGTCTTAGGAAAAGAAAGTACAGCCTGTAGGAAGCAATTTGAGGGAGTTCCAGATCACACCAACAGTGGATGTAGCGTCTGGGTAGTTCACGTATCTGAACAAAAATTTTAAAAATGTGGTGTGGCCTTTGCCATCCATTCACTCCTCCAAAATAACCATTTGCTTTCCCAGAAAGCAAGCTTCCCAACCTCACAGCCACGCCCCCCCCTCCCTGCAGAGAAAAAGTCACACTCACCAAACAGTGACAGGACCCCGCACACCGTCCAGATGGTCAGAGACATGCCCACGCTGCCTGTGTTCTCGAGCACGCCCTTAGGAGAGATGAAGATTCCTGCTCCAATGATGGTGCCAATGATAATGGAGATTCCCCTCAGCAAAGTGACTTTCCTCTTCAGCTGCACTTTCTCCTTCCCAGGTGGCTCCTTGTTGCCCAGGGAAGGCAGCCTCCCGTTAACATTTCCCTGCAGGTAACCTCCTTTGGAGATGGTGGACACAACAGGCTTTCTGACCATAGTAGGGACACACAGGTTTGAAATAAACCAGAGGGAAAGAAAACAAAACTTTCAACTTTGGTGTCTCTTGGTGTTACTGATTGATGTCTTCCTCCCTGCTTTCAGACTGTCTCTCTCAGAGCTACTTCGTTCACAGGTAAAAACTCAAAGGTGTGCTTTGTCCTTCACAGCGATCTAATTACTACTCAGAAACACCTGTGTATGCATCGTGCTCTCAGTTCTCCACCTCCTCGTTCTACCACTCTGCTGCTGCTGCTGCGGCTGCGGCTGCTGCTGCCGCCCTATCATTACAAACCAGCTCAGCTTCCTCATGGGCTTGTATTTAAGCGCCTGCCTGTCACACCAATTTACTACAGCTAAATGATGATGCAAATTCTCCAGGTTTGCATCAGCCTCAGCCACACGAGAAGGCTCCAGCATTACTCAGCCTTTTTTCTAAAAAAAAAAAAAAAAAAAAAAAAAAAAAAAAAAAAAAACAGGAGTAGCTTGTTGCTCAACTGACCTAAGCTTTTTAGAGAACAAAGCACACACTTTAAGGAGATTTTAGCCAATCCAGAAGTAGTACATTCGGAACAGATCTTCCCAGAGAATTAAAGCAACTCCTAGTGAGCAACAAAAGCTCTTCAAACGAAAAGAAAATGAAAACTGAAACAGGAAATAGTTACTTCATTTTAAGGAGTTTCCTTTTTTTAATGCATGTATAAACACATTTTACACGCGACTGTTTTGTGAGTAGAATATATCCTAAAGCTGCATTGTTTATAACAACACAGTTTGAATTTCATAATTTGTGTAATGCTTATTTTTATTTTGAGTTTCTTATAAGGCAAGATAGTCAAATCTAATATTTACAAAACTAAAAAGATTGTACACTTTATAGCTGCAGTCACATACATGCAACTGTAAGCTTTTCTCAACATTAAAAGATCAAATTATTTCTTACAACTCATAATAAAACAGCATTTAAAATCACCATCTGAGTGTGACAAATATAAAATTCACCATGACTCAGGAAAATCTTCATTTTCTGATTCTTATCAGCACTAGGTGATTTTTTTTGAACTAAGTGAAAGATACATATACTTCGTTGTCATGTTGTTCCTTTGAATTACCAACAAAAATTCTAAGTTCAAAATTACACCATGACAATTAACATAAAAATATGCACATAGCAAAAGCCTGTAAAGGAAAACACAGAATAGTAGTTATAGAAAGTAAAGATATTGTGTATGACTGTTTTCTACATGACATAAACTATTGTTATAGTATGATGACATATTTAAAATGCATTAAAAATGTAAGCTAAGATTAAGATATTTACTTTGCAATAGTCAAAAAGACAAAACATTTTCAAACCCTTCTAACTTTCTCAACCAAGTGCCAAGAAAAAACAAATACTAAGAGAAAAGAAATCCTGGATATCGTTTTTGGCTATAGTTATATGTGGTTTTGGATTCAGAGAGAAGCATTGAATGTTATCGTTACCCTGCAGCTACTTTATACACACCATTAAATATGCTTCTGAACCTTTGAACAAAAACAAACGAAAAGCCTGTATGTGAGAGGCTGGCGTGGAGAGGGGTCTGAAGGGAAGAAGGGAGTCAAGGGAGTCAAGTACAGTCAGGATGATCAAAGAAAGAAATAAGAAATAGCCATTAGGAAAGTGTTATGGGAAAGGTCAGAACCATTTTCTGTTATGTTGGCACCTGAGAAAATTACACCACCTCAATGCTTTTCTGGCCAAATAATTGAGACTGCATTTTATTCCTTTTTCAATCGTCTATCTAAATCTATATAATTGGCTTCAGCTATACCAAGTTAAAGTTTTTATAAAGCCAAAACAAATGTTTTTTTCTCAGCTGTTATGTCTTTCAGAAAACAAAAAGAGGTCATTTTCCTCATGCAATCTTGCTAAAACTCCTAAAGAAGGAACATAAAGAGAGATTATTTTCTTTCCAATTCTCTTCCTCCTCCTCCGTCTCCTTTCACTCACACAATTCTCCTGATTAATGTACCTAAGGGGGAGAGGCTTTTGTTCCCAATAAGGGAAACATATTAACTCTGAAGAAATGTGAGGTAAAAGTAGGACACTTGGAATCTCAGGGAACAGCAACTTTCTCTCTCTAATTAACACAGTGTCACACTTTAATTTTAAATTTTGTTATAAATAACTGAACTAATAAGTTGAGCCAAAGACTCCACTCAGATAGGAAGCTGAATGAATTCTAAAGGAGGATTAATCTTTCAATATTAAATAACATGCTCCTCCTCACAGTATTTTCTTCTAATTGCCGAGAAAAATGGCTCATGTTAGACTAAAAACCGAAAGGATTGTTCCTTCATGAAAGATAGAGGCTACTCCTCAGAATCTTTGCAAAGTTGCATATTGCTACTAAGTACACCAGTGTACCTCTTTGAAGCACCCCAAAATCTGTAGAAGATGCAGTTTATAAAGAAAATGTTGACTTGCCTCTACTGTTAATGAACTCTAAAATCACCCATTCTAAACTTAGTTGAACTAAGAGTTTGTATGGTCCTCAAATACTTGTGTATCATAAAAATGTGTTCAAAGCAAGTGACTACATATTCTTTGTCCTGTGCTAGGCCTTACTTTAAGCATAGCTGTCAAATTATTGGACTATCCTTGTGCTATTCACAAATACTTATTGACTGCTTACTGTGCATGAGAAATAGGCCTAGCTTCCTCACAGCATCTCATAGTAGACATAGACATAATCTATATTGGTAGCTACCATTTTTCTGGTAACAATTTCTGTGCCACAGTTATAAATATGAGCATATAATCTAGGCCCAGCCAAAAATAATATATCATTCTTGCTGCAGAGTACTGGAATATTACCTGATGGGATATTTCTACACAAAATTAGAATTAGCTTTTCTCTTCTGCTGTTGGAGATTGTAAAGATGTGACCTGAGAAAAACAGGTGGCCATGTTCCTTGCCATGTTGCAAATATCCCCATGGAATAAGAGAGAATATGCAGAGATAAGAGATATTCATAAAGTCCTAGTACTATCAAGCCCTATCTTAGTTTCTAAGGGACCCAGATTGGCTCGGGATCTTGAAGATCTTCCTTTGCTTCTTGAAGCTACCTAGTTTCCTTGCTAGGTGTTCTACCTAACAACACACACAGAACAAAAGTCAATTGCAACAGATGGTGGAGCTATGTGAATGGCACATCATGCACCCTTCAAGAAATGGGTCACCCAATATGATAGTAATTAGTCACATGTGGTTATCAGCTCTTGAAATCTGACTAAAACTTGAAGTCTTAAAGAAAAAGAACAAAAATGTTACTAATCATTTTTATTATGCATATTAGTTTTACCCAGTTTATTTTTTATTATGGCTACCAAAAATTAAGATCATATCTGTGGTTCAAAGTTGTCACGTACGTTATAATTCTAATGGATAGTGCACTATCTAATGGATAGTGCAGAATATATTTCTAAACTTTGTGTAAGCAGGGATTTCTTAAAAGGGACACACAAAGCCCTGATTTTAAAAAAGAGAAAAATACAGTGTAATATATTAAAATTAAGAATTTTAGTCTATTGAAATATATTATTTGATTATAAAAGTGAATCTTAAAATGGGAAAAAATATTTGCAATTTGCAAAGATCTCATATCCAGAATAAATAATAAAGTTGTATAAATCAATAGGAAAACGATAGAAAACCCAATAGAAAATGGCTAAGAAATTTGAACAGATGCTCAATAAAATGGCCAATTCATTTGTGAAAAACTGCTCAACAGTATTAGTTATGGGGACAATTAAAACCGAAGCCACAACAAGACCTCAATTCCCACTGAGAGTGGCTCACATGAGAAAGACTGAGTACCAGGAGTACTGACAGCATGTAGCAACCAGAACTTTTACACTGCTGGTAGTGGGGCACAAACTGGTAAATCCATTATGGAAAGCTGTTGTGTGCTACCTTTTAAAGTCAGACACGTATCCTTTGACCAAAAAGCCCTATTCTGGGAATATGTCCAATAAAAAACACAGTGCATCTATATGCCAAAAAGCATGGATGAGAACATGCCTAGTACTTTTATTCATTTGAGAATAACCCGAATGTCCATAAACGGTACAATGGATATATGTATCATTGCATTTATTCAGTGAATAACTGCAATGCAATAAAAAATAGGATGAAAAATAGTGATTCAAAAAACAATATGGGTGACTCATATAATGTTAGAAGATAGAAGCAAAAAGCATATACTGTATGGTTCAATTTACATAAAGTTTAAAAACAAGTGAAATGATTCTATAGTCTGAGAAGTCTTCTGGTTGTCTTTGGAGATAAAGGTTTCTAGAGATTGAGGGGGGAACAAAAACAATTCTAGAGACCTGGTATTGTACTATTTTATAACCAGGGTAATGACCTGAATGTTTTAACTTTCTGACAATTCACTAAGCTTTACATTTATTTTATTTATTTTATTTTATTTTTTGAAACAGAGTCTTACTCACCTGTTGCCCAGGATGGAGTGCAGTGGTGCAATCTCAGCTCACTACCTCCTGGGTTCAAGTGATTCTCCTGCCTCAGGCTCCCGAGTAGCTGGGATTAAAGGAGTGTGCCATCATGCCCAGCTATTTTTTGTATTTTTAGTAGAAATGAGGTTTTGCCATATTGGCCAGGATGATCTTGAACTCTTAACATCAGGTGATCCACTCACCATGGCCTCCCAAAGTGCTGGAATTAGAGGCATGAGCCACTGCACCCAGTCTCCATTTATACTGTTATATCTTTATGTATTTGTGTTATAACTCAATGATGAAAAAATAAGCATAACAGTTGAATATTTGTGATATTCTTTCAAAAACAGATTGCTCAAGCAGACCAGTAAGCAAAACTGTAGAAAATTTGGAGAGCATAATTAATAAGCTCAAGACCATTACTTTACAGAGAATTTCCCATCCACCAAATACAAAATAAAGATTATTTTCAAGCACATATAAAACATTAACAAAACTGTCCATATTAATGACAAAATAAGTTCCAAAGAGTTAACATTATGTAAACCACACTCTCTTACTATAAACATGCAAAAAAAAAATAGAAGTTAATAGTTATAAAACTAATAAAATAAATCTCGTATGTCTGGAAATTAAAAATTATATTACCAGCTGGGTGTGGTGGCTCATGCCTGTAATCCCAGATAAGGCTGAGAGGCAGGAGAATGCAGGAGAATCACTTGAGGCTGGGAGGCAGATGTTGTAGTGAGCTGAGATAGCACCACTGCACTCCAAGCTGGGTGACACTGGAAGACTGTCTTAAAAAAAAAAAAAAAAATCATACTACAAACTTATCTTTAAATT